TAGAAGTCAGAGGGGGCCAAGTCCGGAGAAAATGGGGGATGGGGAAGAACTTCAAAGCCGCAGTTAGTTGCAGCAGCCATTGCAACTTGGGATGTGTGAGCTGGCGCATTGTTGTGCAGGAGCGGAATGCCTTGAGTCAGTTTGCCCCTCCTTTTACGCGCGATTTATATTTATGATAATTATAAAACCAAAAAAAAATGTGTTACAGGATCTTTTAGTAAATCAGATTAGTTTTCTTTGTTGATATTGGCAGCCATCTCGGATTTTTGAAGAGTGTATCTTTGATTTATTTTTTGATTTATTCTTTGATTTATCTTTGATTTATTGCTGCTACAATGTTATCATGTGTCATTTTTGTTTTGTTTTAACAGGCAGAAATGTTTTGTTCAATTTGTTCATTTTACCTTCATTTTAGTTGGTTTGTCAACTCTAACAATTCTAAACGCGTTAAGCAAACTTGGTTAGCTATTTTTAACAATGGCTTTGTTATTTTACATAATAAAAATGTGTTTAAATATTTATGAATCTTTATAATTAATAGATTATTAAAAATTTGGAAGGTTGAAATTTATTGAAATTTTCTGTTTTCAAGTTCCCTTTGCATGCAAAGGGTGGTATCTTCCTCCATTATGAAATCTTTTAAGCAAACTAAGAACACTTGCATGATAAAAAAATTAAGTAACCTTATTCTTCATATATTGTTTTAGAAACACAAATGTTCAACACCACGATAGTGGTGTCAAAATCGGGATAGTTTTGAAAATACATGTGGCATTTTTCAACACGGGAGAAGATCGTTTTTGAAGGTTATTTCAGATTATTATTTTTTTATTATTTCTTTTTTTGTAGATTATTGTAGCAATAAAATACAAGAGCGATCAGTGATCACATGTGTCGCCTCATGATGGCCAATTTCATGTTGGGACAAGTTTTGTGACAGACGGAGAAGTGATCGAAGTAGTGGCGACATAAATTCCTGTAAAGTTAGGATGAAATTGCTCCAGTAGTTTATTAGGAGTAGTCCGGACAAGCTTTTGTGTATCTGGCAACACACAGAAAAAAACACCTTTTTATCAAAGGGCCATAACTCGGCCAAAAATCATTCAACCGAAAAACCCGTGCAATATGCACAAGGACTTGAGCTACAGATCAATCCTGTAAAGTTTCATTGAAATTGCATTAGTGGTATAAGAGAAGTAGTCCGGACAAACTTTAAAAATAAAAATTATTAAAGGGCCATAACTCTTACAAAAATCATTGAACCGGAAAATGCTGATAATATGCACAGCTAGACTTGGTACTGATCATTCCTGTAAAGTTTGGATGAAATTGCACCAGTAGTTTATGAGGAGTAGTCCGGACAAGTTTTGTGACGGACGGACAGACAGACAGACAGACAGACGACGGAGAAGTGATCCCTTTATGTCACCACTACTCCGTAGAGGCGACACAAAAAACCAGTCATCAGTTCCTCTATTGTTGTTGGGTGATTTATTTTCCATCGTCTAATGGTTGACGTTTGGTCCGAGACTGATTTTTTGTAATTTCGTATAATGTTGGACGGTAAATACATTGACATCCAGGTTATGTGGTTCCGAAGTCAGTCAAATTGAGAAAAGAAGAATCCCTAAGGAAAGTCCAAAACAACAAAATTGAAAATGTTGCAGGCTCTGTTTGATTGAGCCTGTTCATGGACGGTACTGTCAAGTGCAAACTACCGTCCACGCCCCCTAGCACCGACTTAAGCAGAGATCAACATTTAAACATGAAAATAGTGAAATTTTGAATTTAGAAACATCCGTGTTTAATCGAGAAAACAATGGGCGGAATATACAAAATGAAATTTTGAAAGGGGATCAGAAGTTATGACAGACAAGATGTCAAAAGACAAAGTTAAAAAACAAGCAATATATCTCAAGGGTGATTCAACATTATTCAAGTAGGAGTATTGGAACCATCAAACTAAAAAAAAAGTAAAAATACAATAAACACAACAATATTATCATGCTAAACGACCAAACTTGTGTTAAATGGATAAATCGTTCTATTATAGTAGGACATTTTGCAAGCTATGATGTGAGAAATCTAAAAACATTAGCGTGTCATATATGATCATTTTAGCGTTGTAAAACCCTTTTCTGTCCCCAGGTCAGACCCACAAAAACTCTTCAATTAAATATAAAGGCGGCTCTAGCATCACAATCATTTAAATTAGCTCAGGTACAGGGATCTATTACTGCCACAAATTATTGATTTATGAAAACTAAGATCAACAAGGAAGGGCGATATTCATTGAACGCATCCCCTAGCAAAAGTCAGCATCTAAGGAACACTAGCAAGGAGACCAGCAGGAAACCAAACAAATAGGGGAGGACACAAGGGCTAGGCACGGATGGATCGTCACTATAAATTATTCAATAAAGGAAATAATAGAAAACCCAGAAAAAATAAAAAAGATAATTACTTTAAAGGCCAACGCAGGACAAAAGTTGTAGGGGAGAGGGACCAGAAAAGGGTTGCCAAATTTAAAAAACTAGGGTAAAGGGGACAGTAACCGTTGACGTCAAATACAAGAATGGATACAATATGTGTCATCACAATTTGCATGTAGCAATGAAAAGACAAACAGCAATTTGTGCCAGAAAATGAAGTGGGAAGCATAAGTGTCCTATGGACACATTTCTCTCTAGTTTGAGACTGTTTTGAAAAGCAAGACATTTTTCTAGTAATATTGGAATCCTACATGATTTTTAACCAAAAAAGCAGAAATCTCCTGTGTAAACAAAATTGCAAGTTTGAGCTTTGTCAGTTTATACTTAAAAATCCACTGCCATGTTCACTGCGGACGGGGATATAGCTGTCTTTCAAACTGCCTTGTTAAAGGCCCATTTTGCTTCATAAATGATTTTATTTTTATTTCTCAAAAGCTTTTTAATTTCGGTGTACTTTTATAGTATCTCATAAATTAACTAATTGGGTAATTACCTGAACCATTTTTTTTCATATGTTGCTTTTTTGGCAATCAGAACACAATTTTATATTTTTCTACTTTTATGACAAATTATTTCACATTATCGCTACTTTCTTCAGGTGACAAGCATGAAAAATTCTCTAAAACCATTATTTTAACATTATATAACATTTTTGACCTTTCTAAAGAAGTAAAACATTATTTGTTTCTGTGGCATAATGTGCCCTTAACTTTCATCTCGTTTAAGTTCATTACTGAATTTATTGAACTCGTTCAATATCCTCTAATTATGTAAGTATATAAAGTATGCACGGCCGTGCAATACCATTTTACGGAGCTCTTTAACTGAAGTAAAAGTCGATATTCTTGATTCCACCACAGGAACTTAAAATTCTATCAAATGATTATATCCAAAAATACCCATATATAGTGTAAATAAACAATTTAAACAATATACAATGTAGGTGAGTGAGTGTTTGTTTTTTGTTTTTTTTTTATTATCGTAGATAAATAACATAGGCAATATTTCTCTGCATATTGAGAATTCGAGTATAAATTATGTTCATTGTCAAAAGCTACTTGGATTGCATATTAATAACTGTCTATCTTGGAAAACACATATTGACAAAACGTGTTCTAAGCTTGCTTCTAAAATATCTCTGCTGAAATGAATTCAAATATTTCTTACACATGAAATGAAACAATTATTTTATAACGCTTACATTGCCCCTACTTTTGATTATGAATGTATTATTTGGTCTCAATGTAACAAATCAGATCTAAATAGAATAACAAAATTACAAAAAAGAACCGCCAGAATTATTTTAAATAAACCCATAAAAACAAATTCTCTTGAAATGTTTCAAAACATGAAATGGTTATCTTTTCCATCTAGATGTAAATACTTTTCTGGAATTATGGTATACAGGGTCTTTCAAATAGAAATGCACCAAATTAAACATCAAATATTTGCAAATAACATCGTGAAATATTATAAGATTTTTACATGATACGATTTAATAACATCCTTTCTCTGTAAAAACAGTTTCTATTTTGTCATTGAACAATGCATAAATTTAAAAAAGCTCATGAAACTCGGACCTATTTTCAAATATGAGCAGTAGATTTTTACCTTGATACCGGGAACGAAAAATTTCTAATTTCATTGCAAATCTATAAAATTGTTACTTTTAAAGAAAAAACTGATAATATAATGTAGTCAGAGTTAGCTTTTAGTAATTTTTTGATTGATTTAACAAAACATTATCTTATAATTTGATTTTTGAATGGTGATGTGCTATGCCATATCACGGTCGGTAGATAACCCAATCACGTGACTCAACTGAGACAGCATTTTTCGTAAAATTGATCTGTCTCCAGACCATTCTATTTGAAAGATCCTGTGGTATATAAAGCGATGAATAAATTAACGCCAGCATATATTTCTAATCTAATTCCGTTATCTCAAAATAAAACTTACTTACTAAGATCAACACATAAAAAGACATTATGCATAAACGAACTAAAACAAATTATTTGAAACGTACTTTTTACTATTCTAGTATGGAGTTATGGAACACTATTCCTTTAAAAATAAGAATTTTTTCAAGTTCAAAGTTCAAAGTTTTATTCAACATTCCATTAGTCTTCGCAGAAATTATACAGGATTTAGCTCAATACAGGATTGGAGCAGTACCTCTAGACGCTTGCAGAAATCATGATCACAAAATAGACAAATATCGTTTTTTTCACCGAATTTTACATTTTTCCTTGATTATCGTACTTGATTCGGTGTGACAAGTTGAATTAGACCTGTTTAAGTTCATTCCGTTGGGTAAAAAGACAAGATTTTAGCATTTTATCATTCAAGCGCCTTGTCCGGTATATACCGGAATACGGTATTTAGTGTGGTGCTCCAATCCTTTTTTTAGTCACAGCCAATTATACATACGAATGCTAATTTTGTTTATTACGTCTGCACGCCGTGAGTAGCGCGGAATTTTCCGTTGCTTACCGAAGGAAAGTTCAAGGCCGTGACTCACGCTTCGTCCTTTCGCGCTCATCCAAGGCTACAGTGTAGTGAACAAAAAGTGGCAAGAAAAAAGGAAAATAAGAAAAGCAATTATGGCAAACCCAAAATGCTTCTTTGATATTACTATTGGTGGAAAGCCAGCCGGTAGAATTGTCATGGAGGTAAGAACCTTACTTTTTGCACATGGAAATAAAATTTAATTTGTGTATCGAATTTTACCGGCTTCCTGGAAGCCATTTTTGCGTGAATACAAAATAGTTCGATATTTGGTTACATTATCATTATTTAGTATTTATTTATTTTTGTTTATTTTCAACATTTTCATAGTGTTCAACTTTCTTACAACAAAATGATTGAAATACGATTTTACATTTTATTGTGTTGGTAATAAATTAGAGGAAGGCGAGCTAACGACAGATTATTCCCCTTGATTATATTTAGGTTGAACGCCACTAAGTGTTACATTTTTCGAGGAGTTTACTGAAAAATTGATAGTGTACACACTGTTGTACAACGTCCACCGGATATAGCCCCTAAAAACAACGAAAACGAAAGTAGAAAGCTTCACACTGAGTACACCCAAGATAATGTTTAAACTTATTTCTTCATCATAACTTCATTGATTTTTCCAAACTAAACAATTTTGTGAAGCTAAATGGTTCTTGTTTTAGAGCAATATTTGCTTTTGTCTGCAAATTGAATACTTTTTGTTAAATTGGTGATGAATTGTAGCGTATTTGTTGACATTTGCGAACGATGTTGATATTTACCACTAAAACCAGCCCAAAACGCATTTGCTGTATCGAATTCCGCCGTTAATACAAACTATAGCCATCCCTCTACTTATATTTGAGTTTTCACCCTTCAACTTGGGCTGCTTTTAACAAAATTTGCGAAAAACGACCTTGCCTTGTGTACAGAGTCTAGCACGGATGTGTACGGGGTGTAGATGGAAAACTGTTAGCGATTGTACGGGGTGTAGTCGGAAAGGGAATGTCATTTTCTGTAAAATAAATTCAGTACCAGAGCATATACACGTACGCTGATGAAGAAATAACAATTAATGTCGGGAGCAGGGATTGTGAAGTGAATTATATTAATTTTATAAAAGATGAAAATGTTTAAATTGTAAACATGTTACGCAACAAGTATATTAATTGCAGTAAACAGTTTCCGTCCTGCTAATCGTGACTAAAGTTAATAGGGAAATCGTAAAACTCAAAAGACCACAATTTCATTCCATAGTGGTAGTATATTATGTACAGCAAATTCTATAATTTGTCTTAAACAATTTCAAACCATGTTTTGGTTATGCTTGATCTAAACTTGTTATATTGGGTTATTATTTCACTGGTCTTAAGACTTTATTGAAAAAAAAAACATATGTTAATGAGCTTTGATAAAATATCCGCCTTGATTAGTTAGGATCATCATTAGATTTATCTTTTGTGGCTATAAAGTCTTTCATATTTTTTTGCAGTCAAACTCGGGTGACCTCACTTGTGATTTCGATATTGTTTAATAAATACAATGCTGCCGCTTATAATGCTGCTTTTTCTTAAAATTATAATGATAATGATGACTATTCAATGATGATGATGACGATGATGACAATAATGGTATTTTATGTTTTCAATTCAACAATGCCATACCAATGTACAGAGTGTGCAGAGTGATCAGACCTGGGGATGATTACATTGATCAGTAATTGATTTAATTACAATTACTTTCAGATTTTATTGTAATTGATTATTATTGATTACTCAGACTTGCCTCTGTAATCAATTGAATTACAATTACTTTAAGAGAGTAATTGATTGATAATTGATTACATTCAATGTAAAGTAGAATCCCTACTTAAGACCACCCCCTTAATAAGACTATTTTTACAAGGTTCTTCATGTCAATGGTTACATGATCCAGAATTAAGAACAACCGCTTATTCACTTTTAAGGGTGTACGGACATAATCCCCTTCGGACAAAATCCCCTTCATGTATTTTTGTATATCTGGACATAATCCCCTCCATGGGTGGACATAATCCCCTTCATGTGTGAAATTTTGAAGTGGACAAAATCCCCTTCATAAAATTGCTACCTAGGATAAAATCCCCCTCAGATGAATTTTTGGTTTATAAAGTGGGTATGAGAGCGACATACTGCATTATGCTGTGTGGTAAATATCTTAATGTATAAATAAAAAGAAAGATTTCAGCAGGAAAGCACATTCAATAAGCACATTTTAATCACATTAAAATTGCTTTGTTAAAGCATTCATAACAATCAAGTTGTGCAGTGATCTTGGGTTGATTAAATTATCACTCTTTCATTAAAAGAAATTTTAACAATGGATAATATGTATCAATTAGAAGTATCAACTTATACAATCAATGAAACAATTATGGCTAATAAATTTTTTTTCATACTTATCAATTTAAAACAATTAAAGAAATTGCGTAATCAAATATGTGTTATGCAGTTGATAATTTAAACTTCTAAACTAAATAAAGGTAAACTATTGATACATAATTATAAATAAAAAAAACAAAAGTTCATTATTCAACAATTTTTAGGGAATATAATAATATATTATTCATTAATTTTTATGGAGCACAATAATACATAAGAAACCTATGAAACAAGGGGATTTTGTCCGGGTAGTGAAGGGGATTTTGTCCAGCCTTGCAAAAACACGAAGGGGATTATGTCCGGGTTTGCGAAGGGGATTTTGTCCGGGTTTGCGAAGGGGATTTTGTCCGAAGGGGATTATGTCTGATTCAGTTTATATTATTTGCTTTATTCTAAATTTGACCCCACTATTGAGAACACTTACATTAAAGTCAACACCTATCTAGATCTTAAATTTGTTGTTATGATCTGCTTGAATGCTTTGCATGACACTTAATTTCACAAGGTGTGAAAAACTGTTATTATTGGGTTATTGTATGAAATAAGGTGAGAAGGTAAAATTTAGAGTTTTCAGCAAATTTATTTTGTGAAGAATTAATTTTTATTTGATAGGTGATTTAAATGACTAAAACAGACCATGGTCATAAAGAATGTAAGCAATGATAAGAATATTTGCAATTAAGACCACCCCACAATTACGACCACTTTGGCCCAGCCCAGATGATGGTCTTAATTAAGGGCTTTTACTGTATAAATGTAAAACAAAAGTTTAAACTGTATCATCATTCATGTAAAATAAAGGCATCCTTTGAACTGAAATAATTTCCTGTTAAATCTGAAAGTAATCAATGTCAATCAAATTGTAATCATAATTACTGACTGAATTTTAGCTGTAATTGATTAATTACAATTAAATTAATCAATTTTGGGCAAGGTAATCAATTACATGATGATTACAGTGTAATCATGTAATCAATTAAAAAATCAATGATTACAATTAATGATTACCCCAGGTCTGAGAGTGATATGAAACATTTAAAGAGTCTATTCGGCATATTATTACCAGTATCTTTTGAGTCGATTAATAGCTTATATAAGGCGACTAAAACTGTTTTATAGAAGACAGTGCTAATGCCATTTTGTATAAAATGACACTCGTGCATAATCTTTTAATTGTCTGATCAATTATCAACCACATGTCTTATGTGTAGGCTAGTTATACATGTATAAACGTATATATAAATCCCCATTAGGACCATTTCCATTCAGCGAATTGGTCAGAAGACTCCTCAAAATGTCTCATAAATACCGAAAGACACTATTCAGCTGATGGCATGACAATACAAATTCAACGCACAGGGCCAAAACACCATTTTTGGGGAAGGGGCCTCAGCCTTTTTCTTGGGGAAAATATGCATGATTTTGGCATACTTTGGGGAAAGGGGTCTCAAATTTAACAAACTTTTAATAAGTTCTTAAAAATAGATAAGCAAAAAGCACTGGGAAATACTAATAAGGCAGTAAAAGACCTTAATTCAACACCATTATTTAATTTTGTTCTTAATTCTATGGAAAATTTCAAAAGACTGGGGAAGTTTGACGACTAAACTGGGGGAAAAGATAGGCTAGTTTGGTTGGGGAAGCAGCCTATATTCGGCCTCTACAAAGAAGGGTTTTTTGGCCCTGACGCAGCTATACTGTTAGGCTCAAAAACACAAAAAAGTTAAATTATTTACCAAATACCTCTGTATCGTCCTCTAATCTACCCATGTTTAGTCTGAAATGAGATTATTTCCAATTAAAAATAATATAAAAGACTATACTTTAAAAATATTTGACTGCTAGACACTGTACACATCTACTAAACCCTGTACATTAAACTACAACACCCCGTTCACTTAAATTTGTTTTCTTTGCTAGACTCTGTACACAAGGCAATGCCGATTTTTGCATATTTTGTTAAAAGCAGATCGAGTTGAAGGGTGTAAACTCAAATCTAAGTTGAGGGAGAACTATAGTTTGTGTTAAATGGCGAATTTTGATACAGCAAATGCGTTTTGGGCTTGATTTAGTGGTAAATATCAACATCGTTTGCACATATCAACAACTACGCTACATTTTATCGCCAAGATAACACAAAGTATTCAATTTGCAGACAAAAGCAAATATTGCTCTTAAACAAGAACCATTTAGCTTCACAAAATTGTTTAGTTTGGAAAAATCGATGAAGTTATGATGAAGAAATAAGTTAAAACATTACCTTAGGTGTACTCAGTGTACAGCTTTCTACTTTCGTTTTCGGTGTTTTTAGGGGCTATATCCGGTTGACGCTGTACAACAGTGGTACACCAACTATGTCAAGTGAAGGACTGAATAGATTGGTATTATCAGGCTGGTGAAAATGCCCAATGGGGCTTATGACACAAAATCTTTATTCTTTCTTTTTCTATTAAACTTTGTTTGTTTATTGAGCATAATATTGGTTAGACCAATGCTCGATATAAAAAATATTTTTTTAGAATATCTGAATATGTCTCAAGTTATCTCAGATTTAGGTCACCAATTTATTTCAGCAATGCTTTGTTAAATATTGGGAAAAAATGCATGACTTGAATTTTGCAGTGATTAAATGAATGCAAAGAATCACTGCCTAGGATGGCATCTAAAAACATTTAAGCACCATTACAGTGTAGAAGTCGTTATTTTCAAAGATTTTAGACTTTGTTGTTCAATATTTTTATTTTGTTACTTTCAATTTGAAATTTATTTCCTGTGAATTGGGAAAATATTATACAATTTTCATTTGGGAATATGACCGAGTATCGGCTATAAAATAAAAATATATAAACCCCCTGCATCAGCCTGATTATATCCTGGCTTCTTATATTTTCGACGGTGTAAGGACATTTCGTGTCGGCAAAAATGTAAAAAGGAAATAAATACATATTTCATATTACCACAAACTAAAATTACCTTTTTCCTTTATAATTTGAAAATTTCAATACAAAAACATTACAATTTACCTTTTTACACTAGTTTTATGGAGGCAGCCTCTAACTGGACTGCAAAACCTCAGGTGAACCCACCCATCACACCTGTCACAACATCCCCAATTAACAATAGTTAAATATGGCAATTTGTCAATTGATGTCTTTAACATTGTGACGCCTGCAAACAATACACTTGTCAGAATCTAAAATGTTATTTTCTTCAACATCCGAGTCAGTATTAGCAACAACATAGTCTTTTGACTTTTTTTGTTTGGAATACCAGATGTACTAGCAACAGAGGTGTTGATACGCTTTGACTTATTTGATTTTTGGTCTGAAATATGGGTTTTAACTGCATCAAACACTTGGTCTTCAGTTACCGCTTTCCCTCCAACAACCTTACTTAAAGTCTTTCTTGTCTTAGCAAGTTGAACATTTTGCAACACTTTACTACCTCTATTTTCTAGAAATGACCTAGCATTTGATGCAATTGGTACCCCATCTTGGCCTGTTTTACTACCATCAACAATTTCAGATGAATTAGTGATTTCAGTTTGAAAACTTAAAGAAGGTGCAATAGAAGCATCACTTACAACATCAGAGTTAAATGGGTAAATACCACAACGTTTGAAGGCAGACTGTATATTGACAGGTGTGAGGGTTGCTGTGTATACTTTGCTTGCTATTTTACCAACTTCATAGCGCGTAACTACATGACCACCAGATTCTCTCAGGTATTGATGAAACGCTGCATTCCATCCTACCTCAAAAGGTGCAAAACATGAAACATCCATAGGTTGTAATAGATGTGAACAATGTGGGGGAAGTACGAAAAGAATAATGTGTTGTGATCTTGCCCACTCAATAAGACCTAGAGAAACATGACTCTTATGACCATCGTACAACACCAGAACTTGGTTTTCTTTAGTGCTACTTGGCAGTAATGGCTCTAAATGCTGAATCATGTAATTTGTAAATATTTCTGTATTTGACTACCCTGATTCTGAGACATCACCTTGAGACCCTGGTGTAGCGCCTTCTAATAAAGCTGGCAACATTCTTGCTCCAGGAAAAACAAAATGTGGCGGAATCTGGTGTCCTAAAGCATTGGCTCCACCTATAACAGTTACTGTTTTAGATCTTCCAGCTGTGACAGCTTGAGCCTTGTAGTGTGCACCTGCAACTATTTTAGGAGGCTTGTGCTCAAGATTTAATCCTTTGTCATCAATATCATAAATACGAGATGGCTCATACTTCAGATTGTATTTTTTAAGAACTGTATCAAGTTCTTTGAAATACCTTGTTATTGTTGTACGAGTAGCAGACTTTACTCTGGCAATTTCAGGGCTACGTGTTTTTTTCACTTTAAGTTCAGGCCATCTATCAAGAAAGCTATATAACCTAAATGTACAGCATAGTCTGAGGCTAGATTTATTGTCTCCTGTCTTGAGTAACCATAACCAATTTCTGCCATAGTTTTCAAATGTTCAGTTAAGAAAGCTTCCTGCTCTTGACTAAATATAGTTTGGGGTCAATATCAACTCTCCCCATAACTCTTATCTTTTAGGGTTGTGACAGGCACATTAAACCTTTTAGCAACTCTCTCTACAGGCAATCCTTCTTCTATTACTGTCCTGTAAGCTTCATTCAGGTCACTTGCTGTGTAGGACCTATATTTGCCCCGGATGTGGGTCTTGATCTGAAAAAAAAATGAAGAAGGAAATTAATTTAGTAGTCTGAACGCTAAGCATACATTATGTAATCAATGAACTTTTGGGAACACCCTGTACATAAAATTTGACATATCAAGTGACCTTTGGGAGAATTGATGATCATAGCAGACGTATGGAAACACAATTAATTTTTTAGGCGATAATATTCTCATTATTGTGTTTCTTAGCAACAGATTTTTAGGAAATAAGAAAATACACGTGTTTGACCATTAGAAATATTGTGATAAAGGTTTACCTGTCTAATTTCCATGTTATGTTACTTTGACATTTTAGCGGCATCCAGCATCATTTTGTTTACATCCGGAAGGGGTGGAGTTAAAAAATTCTCGCGAGATCATAACATATTTGGATAGAAATGGCTAAAGTCGAAAAATATAAGAATGTCGAAAATAAAATACGCCACGATATAGAACTGTACTGTGAGGCTGTGAGCTATCATTGATTGTCCCTATTCTTTCTTTATTTGACTTGTCACTAGTGACTACTATTAATTTTGATATATTTCTTTTGCATTTGTAGTTGAGAGCTGATGTTGTACCTAAAACTGCAGGTAAGTTAATACTTTGTTATTTAATACACATGCCTATTTGAACCAGGTAAAGAATCATGTCATGTTGCATTATAGTAACTAATGCTTTCAAATACATGATTAAAGCACACATGTACTCCACATTTTGCCTATATAATTTTGTACAAGATTAAATGTCAGCTGCATTGTATTAATTAGAATAAGCAGAGCAACAGATAAATTTTGTGACAATAAGATTATTACTACCTGATTTGTTATGCATTTTTTTTTGCGAGAAAAACTAATTCATTTTGACATTCAGTTGACAATGAGGATTTTATTATTGTAAAGTTTAGAATTGAGTCTGAGAATTTCTTAAATTTTATGTTTATTTGCTTAAGTACTATGTTAACAAATTCAGATATAATCTTCGTATAAGTATTATATATAAACCTTTCTGTGGACACATATTTCTTACAAATGAAATATTTTCTTAACATTAATTTCCTTCAATGGTATCAAAAGAACTAACTTTCTATACACTTTGAAACTGATTTTTTATGATGATTTCAATAAAATATCTTAAAATACTTCAAATTATTTTGTTTCAATTGTAAGATTTACTTGATTTTTGTGTTGCCTGCTTATTGAAAGTAGTTAAAGAAAGCTACCCCATCATGGGTAGATCTAGATTCATTTTATTTATTTGAACATACGTTTTATACAGTTTTATCCAACAGAGAATACATTACAAGTCTTTTCCATTTAGAATTTGTCTTTACTATAAAACTATTCGTATCTGTTGCTCTGAAATAATATTTTTCATTCTTTAATTTCTGCTGGCAATGATCTATTCATTCCTTAACACTGAACCTGCCGGAAACTAATGATTAGTCTTTGCCCACAGTATAGCTGGCATATTTTCTGTGCTTTCACCTCAATTTTTTTTTCTTTAATTTTAAAATCACATTAAAACTTTGAATTGACAGTTTCAAATTTAAAGCTGGGCAAATTCAGCAGGTTAGGGGTTAAAACTTAAGTACAACTTCCCTATTTATCACTAGTAAACAATATTTTCTTCCTATATTAATTGAGTAATATTGGTCCTATTTCTAAAACATACTCAATAACTTTCCTTTCTTTTAAAGTGGTGAATAACTAGCAAACTCAATCCTGATCAATTTTAAGTTCATTAGCTTTTGAAAGCAAGTGTTGGCCTGTAAGGCAGTCTTCTTTCGAAAGTGCAGGACATAGGAGATGTACCAACTATACTATACTAGACTATACAGATTAATGTGCAGATTTCATGTCAATATCACATATGGTTTGTAGCTATGCTATGAATAAAACATTGATCATACAGTTTAAGTTTTCATTAAAATGTCTAGAAAAGTTGTAGGATAAAATATTGATTTTCATGCCTTACTGAAGGTACAAGTTCTTTTAGATAATGAAGAAATACTTGCTGTTAGGTTGAATGTTACCTAAAATATGACCATAAACAAGTTAACAGTATTCTGGTGTTTTAATATCCCAGTGTTTTACCCTTCTTGGAACAACAAGACCTATTTTATACTTTGTGTTATTCTTATTTTAAAAACAAAGAAAAAAAATTGGCAAGGTCTTCCCACCATGACATGTCATTACAATAATTAGAATAATTTAATAGTAGAATTTTTAACTTCAGCTTTTATGCACATGTCTCATTTTCCTCTGGCTATCACTGTAGTAAATACTGTTTTAAAATCACTCATTGTACATAAATAAATTACTAATTCTCATCCAACATTAGAAAGGTTGTTGAAACAATTTGTATTTTAGCTAACCTTTTGAGTGACTTTTCAGTGATTAATCTAGAAATTCAATATTTTGAGTACAAGGACGCACATGTTTATAAACAATAAGTTCCGCAGCAAAATCAAGGAGTTCCAGTAGACGAAATACATTTTTAACAACAGACTTTTGACAGGCTCAGTTATGAGATATCTTTATTAAGTGATATTAATGCATTTTATAGTTGTAGTTAATTTCGATACTAAATTAACATTATTTCTCAAGTGTATATGCAAACACTTAGAAATACCAAACTGTTAATTCTAACACAACCCGCATTTTTCCCTATTGAACAAAGAAGAACAGAAAGTGTGTGTTATTATGCAACAGATGCACAGTTTGACGTTCTATATTTAGACATGTGACGTAATCATTACACACGTGACGTAACCACTAAAAAACCGACGCCCGGAAAATAAGTACGGAAACAAATCAGGCGCAATTTTTATCTTATCTATCAAGTACGGCAACATTTATTTGTTGATGTCGTGTTAGAATCGAAATAATATATCCAAATCGGTGATTTTATCGCTTGATAACATCACTGTTTGTAGTTCGGATGCGCATCATTATATCACTCCGGCTACGCCCTCGTGATATAATTCCTCGCATCCGAACTCCAAACAGTGATGTTATTGAGCGATAAAATCACTGTTTGGGAAATATTATTTCTTAAATAAAATACCAAACTCTTAGATAATACAAATAAAGTGACTCTTTCCATAATGGACTTTTTTTTACTTGAGTTTATTAACGTTTTTGGCAAGTTTTTGAATCATTTATTCTAATCCGTTCTAAAATTCCTTGTGACTCGATATTACCGAGCATATATCAAGTTATAATTTACATTTAAAAATTACCTGTGTTATTGTATTATTCCAGATAAAGAAAGTCAAAACATGTACAATAGACAAGCTAAAATATAAACACATTAAGATATTAATTTACATTTTAATCAGGTGCTTTTGACATAGTTCAAAAGATCTGCAGACAATCACCAGCTAAAATTAATTGGATCAGCAAGTCTTGTTTTACTTTCACATTGGTCTCTTTAGACATTAAACAACTGTTAAGGTTTACAAAATTGAGAATGCTTTGATGCTTATCGAGTATTCTATAGAATTATAGCGGGTGACAAATATGAAACATTTCGTCCAACACTAACAAATACTATTTCTCCGGTATAGGCAGTTGCTCCACTTGCGCTCATGCAATAGGAATGCTCTGATTGCCTTATGTATTCTACATCCCCGATAATGGTCAGGACAAATTAAAATAGACGAGCAACAGTTGCTTGGAATTTTAACGTTTTTAGTGCAAATTCTCTTCGTCAGATTGAAGTATTCAAGTGATGAAATTAAACTGATAAAACAGTACATAAAATCATGATAATGATATTCTGGACTATAAACTATCAGATTTTGCACATATTTTGAAACGGTGCGTCTTTCTAGATATTTATGTGTCTTTGATGCGGAACACAAATCTAGATTAATCACTGCTCTTTGGTGTTGTAGTTCTTGTAGCAGTTTTTGCTATCGGCTTTTTCTAACTTCTGGAGATATAAAGAAGAAAAAAGAAGATTGGTAACCATTTTGAGGCAACAATTACATTTTACAGTATGTAAGTTCAGTATTAGAATTTCAAAACAATGCATGTCCTTTAGATTGTCCTACAGTAGATAGCTATATTATAACTAGTTTTATGTTGAATATTTTGTATGTTCATTTTTATGCCCCCACAAAGTTGTCCGTCTGTACGAACCCAGAGGTACTTGTGTGATTTGGAGAACAATGGGTAACAGTAAATTCTCTTTGATCCTATTCACTCCGTTTTTACTTGTGTGTCTTTTTAGCTCACCTGTCACAAAGTGACAGGGTGAGCTTATGTGATCGCTTTTCGGCCGGCGTCTGTAAACTTTTACTTTAAATGACATCTCCTCATAAACCACTAAGCCAATTTCATCCAAACTTCATGTGAATGTTCCTTTGGTGGTCACCTTTGAAAATTGTTCAAAGAATTTTATTCCATGCAGAACTCTGGTTGCCATATCAACCGAAAGAAAATACTTTAAATATCTTCTTCTAAAAAATCCAAAGAGCTAGAGCTTAGATATTTGGCATGAAACATCTTCTAGTGAGTGTCTACCAAGTTTGTTCAAATAAAAGCCCTGGGGTCAAAATTGGCCCCGCCCCAGGGGGTCATTGATTTTCCATATATGCATATAGTAAAACCTTAAAAAATCTTCTTTAAAAGAACCCAAAGACCTATAGCTTAGATATTTAGCATGAAACATCCTCTTATGGGTGTCTACCAAGTTTGTTCAAATAAAAGCCCTGGGGTCAAAATTGGCCCCGCCCCAGGGGGTCATTGATTTTCCCTATATGCATATAGTAAAAACTTAAAAAAATCTTCTTTTAAAGAACCCAAAGAGCTAGAGCTAAGATATTTAGCATGAAACATGTTCTAATGGATGTCTACCAAGTTTGTTCAAATAAGAGCCCTGGGGTCAAAATTGGCCCTGCCCCGGGGGTCATTGATTTTCCTTATATGTGTATAACAAAAACTTAAAAATCTTCTTGTAAAGAACCCAAAGACCTAGAGCTAAGATATTTAGCATGAAACATCCTCTAATGGGTGTCTACCAAGTTTGTTCAAATAAAAGCCCTGGGGTCAAAATTGGCCCTGCCCCAGGGGGTCATTGATTTTCCCTATATGCATATAGTAAAAACTTAAAAAATCTTCTTTTAAAGAACCCAAAGAGCTAGAGCTAAGATATTTAGCATGAAACATGTTATAATGGATGTCTACCAAGTTTGTTCAAATAAGAGCCCTGGGGTCGAAATTGGCCCTGCCCCGGGGGTCATTGATTTTTCTTATTAATTATGTGTATAACAAGAACTTAAAAAATTCTCTTTGAAAAAAACAAATAGCTAGAGTTAAGATACTAAGCTTGAAACATCTTCTAGTGAGTGTCTACCAAGTTTGTTGTAATAAAAGCCCTGGGGTCAAAATTGGCCCCGCTCCGGGGGTCATTCATTTTCCTTATATGTGTATAACAAAAACTTAAAAAATCTTCTTTAAAAAAACCCAAATAGCTAGAGTTTAGATATTAAGCACGAAGCATCTTCTAATGAGTGTCTACAAAGTAAATAAAAGCCCTGGGGTCAAAATTGGCCCCGCCCCGGTGACATTGATTTTCCTTATAT